ATATTCATGGTCACAAAAAAAGTAAATCACAGACATGTGATGGGTACGATAAGATTTGCACGCACGTAAACTCATCTAAAAACAGTCATTAAATAAGTCAATAAGTGAAAAAGTCAAAATGTGGTTTTAGAAAAATGAATGGATTGGCTTGTCCTGAAGCGAGAACGAATCATGTGGGTTTGACCTGGCACTCACACTATACCTCACACGTTCAATGATCAGCAGAATAGCCACTCTACTGCACTAAATCCAGTAATTTCAGTAGTCATCAGCGAATTTCTATATCTTCTAGACCTAGGGAGTGCCTCTGTCCTATGATAGTAGGGTTTATGGATACCAGCACTATTCGCATTAACATACAGGACGCTGGTTGGTTAAAATCTGAAAAATAATAGTGATAATTCGGATACTAGGAGGATACGCTTGTTTTAAGAAATAAATCAGTTAGAAAACTGATTGGCAATGCACATATTATGAGAATACAGAAGTGCAGGAATAATAGAGGAAGTGGAGATGATAATAAGCGAAATAGAAACAAGTTAATGATGAGATAATGACAACAGTATGCAAGTTACGAGACACGCATCCGACACAAATGTTTCAAGAGGGGATGGTAATCCATGGATGAGTACGTGTTTGCCAAGTCTTCTCTTGAAGCTATTCACTGAGGGGGCTGTGGTCACTTCGGTTGGGAGAACACTACCAATAGGGGCAACTCTTAATGAAAAAAGAAAGAGCGTACCTTGGTTTTCGTTCTTTGATCTGCAATCTTTCGATGGTTGTCTCGAAGAACGTGGTGTTGTTTATGTAGGATACACGCATTTGGGGGATTTATAGTACTTAATATGTTGTATACCATAATCAGATCACCACTTATTCTCCCACAGCTGTGTTGTAGTTTGTCTTGGCAATATTTGTGTTCTACCCTATCATCCACTTGGTTGGCCGTCTATGAGTTTGGTCCGAGATTTAGATCACTTATAGTAATCAGGAACGATGAATTTAAACACTCCGAAAGAAGTTGTGCACATTCCTATCATTATTAGAAGCAATTATCGGGTGATTTCGCTAAGTTTTCTAAGTAAAAGATGAATTGTTACATTTCCATTGTCTTCATCCGCTTGGGGGTCCGGAAAGACATCTGTGAGGCGCCTAAAGTCTAATTAGTAAAGCTCTAGTGATTCGAGGCACAATTCACAACGTTTGATTGGGATTCCTCGAGCGGGTTTCATGGATTGCCTTTGGATACGTTCAACTATATTTTTATTTCTTTGAAGTAAGGGAGGAGACACTTCATTTTTGCATTCCAAATGTGGTTGAACGAAGTTGTTAGAGATTGGATGAAGATTAGAAAGTCAAGCTTGCCAAAAATGCGCTCCAACGTTACCATTGCAATGTTTGCTCAGAAATCGTTTCGTCAAAACTTTCATACCTTATTCATCTTTGAACACCTTTGGAGGAGAATCATCAACTTTGTATGTGTAGTCTGTGTCACGTATCAGATGGATTACTTTACACTTTGAAGCATTTTTCATTGAACCTTAGTCCATCATTAAAACAAATCCAAGACTTTTCATGTTTAGATATAAGGCATTATTTCTTGTGGAATGCTTCTGAATCATATTGGATGGTTTTTAAAATGTGAAAATTCGTAATGTTTGTTTATCTAAGGCAACTAAAATTGGGCGTAGGTCATTATTAGTTCACTTCATGAGGCGTTTTTTCCTGCAAAGGTTACGTTAGTTACATTTACGATTCCTTCCGTATTGTTATACGAACGTAGGCCTTCTCTTTTTTGTAAAACGGTACTGACTTTTAAGCTAGTAACGTGCGTGTAGGTGATCACAGTAAGCTTCACGAGCATAAGTGGTGTGACTGATGGGGCTGCTCCAAAAAGTTATATTACCAGTTAACGCGACTGTTTATAATTCGCAGAGGTTTATCACACGCAAAATACAAAATTACTTAACGTAAATTCCAGTACTTGTTTCAACGAAAGAAAACCTCTGAAATGTTACTTTCAATCCTGTAGCAGCTAATATTGTGTAACTCTTGTATGTCGGTTTGAAAGGAATTTATTATCTTAACATGTCGATCCGAAATAAAATATGAAACTTGCCTCCAGCAAATTTTTTGCACTACGAAATGATTACCATCATAAATAATGAAGTTAACAAAGGTATCGTGTGACAAAGAATGGCCAGGACAAGACAGATGCCATGACCATTTACCGTGACAATGTCGTTAGACGTAATCCTACTGTCAACAAAGAATTCGAACGAGGTGTGTCATGGAGTTGATTACTCACTTCAGACTTGACTAATAGTATGGCGTGTGTTACTTATGTTGACATGCACAAGCAGTCTGTAGCATCGTTCGAGAATAGAATGCCTGGCAGTAGAATGTTTAAATGAAGAGAAGAAGGACGTAGACAGAGAGGAATTAGAATGACAACTTGATTTGAGGAATGAAGGTGTATGTGTAGGACCAATGAAGGAAGATGTGTAAATAGTGTATTGAATGTATTATTGCCATATTTTACGAAGGTGCTGTGTAATTCTGCATAAGACAGTAAATTGTTTTTCCCCACCTCAGTGTTCGTTCACCACAACGGTAGTTTACTCTTTAGAAGTGTGAAGATCGACAGAGTTGAATTAGTTACATTCACGGTGATTGAGACAGTTTAAGATGAATACGGTTGCCCCGACACTATAATACTGGGAATGTCATACATTCAGCGTACTTCACCAGGGAGTTAGAAGGAGGTCATATTACTTATGTGAACAAAGCCGGACCCAAACAGTAGCCCTAGTAGTAAAGACCGATTAAACTAACGAAAACAGTCCTCAGTACGATTTTTAGGATGGGTCATCACCCATGACAAATGTTTCGGTAAAGCGGATCTGGATACAATATCGAGATTACAGAGAATTGGCAAATTTAATGTACTTAATTTTCATTTAGGCCCTTGATGAAGTTTCACGCAATACGTTCCTTTTTAATTCTGAAAAGCCTGGAGATTGGAGAGCACCTTTGGTGGCTTGGAGTTATCTTACTAGTCTATGGCAGAAGACAAGAACCATCTTCAAAACTCTATTTCAAAACCAATACATAGACAGGTTTCGTGTGATCCGGTTATCGGTTATATTATATGCAGTTTGTCATAAGATCATTGATACTCTATGCTGATAACAAAATTTGGGAGAATCGTCAAGAGATGGAAATACGAGCACATTTCTGTCTCACTTTGGCTACCTGTCAAACCGGTATGCTTAACGCGTATCAGATTGTCTAAGCCAACCACCATACAGATGGTAAGAACAAAAAAGTAGACAAAATACTACCATTCAGTCATGTTTATAAATTTTAGAACATTGTTGGTTTTGAGAAAGACCTCCAGAAAGTGGGAAATTTGTTCACTATGACACACCTAGTCCCAGTGTAGTCCAAGCGAGAAAAATTCATCGCCAAGTGCAAACCCAAAATTTCGTAAGGTTCGGAAACATCACTAGTAAACATACTAGGTGTTACGTACCTGTTGAATTCGCGCGGTAGTGCCTTGACTACTGCGAGGAATTGTGCACGTGTGTCGATCACGCCGTGCTCGGAAAAGTCGGCTTCTGCGTAGCAAAACCAGGCTTCGATGTTGTCGGGCCAGAAAGGCATCAGTTGAAACGAAGGTGGGACAAGGTCTTAAGCTTGAGTACTTTAGGTGTCTGTTCAGTCATGATGAAATATGAAGTACGATAATGAACGAGGGGAAAATATATGTATATATCCAAGAAAAAACACGAAAAAAATCACGATGTTTAAAAAAATAAAAATAAGGCAATGATATATAAAAATCCCAAAAAGGAACAGACTCACAGTTGCAATAAGGTGTACCAGATCACGACGGTCTCACCAATGATGATGTCACAGGTATTCAGTGTTTGACAATGCTTCTACCAGTAACACATTCTAATATATTTCGTTCCCACCAAGAGAAATCAAAAGACAGAGTCGAGGAGATCGGAAGAGTATATTTGGCGATGACCAATATATCGGAATTCTATGATCTAATCTGGCTAGCGATTGCGGTTGATGTTGAGCACGGCGTTACCACACGTGATCTGGTACGGATGCCTGACCGAGCGCCTTCAGCTAGATGAGTCCACTAAAACATATGGTCAGCATCCAATGTCGAAAACTTAGTGCTATTTATTTTGGGGATTTATTTACCGCTACATGTCTAAGAAATATTAGTTTCTCGATTTATATGGTTTTACGTCGAATCACTTTATTATGTATAACAGCTCATCCTACTGAGGTAGTCAGGATTGTTGTTTTGTAAGAACCTTTTGTAAAAACACCCAAGATTACTGACAGAGTCACATATTTAAGATAAAGATTAAACTACTACAGTGGCCTCGTCGTATGATCCGTGCAAGTAGTCTTGATAAAGTACCCTCGCCGAATTCAATTGACCTCTACCAGTCCTCATAAATCGTACAGTGTTTCTTGTAAATCCCCTAAGTCAAGGCATGTTCAGTCCCGAAGACCATTTGGTTGGGAACTCATTATCATTGTCACTACAGTATTGCTAGTTAAAAACGACACTGCCAATAAATGTGTTTAGTCAGGCATTCTGGTCATATAATATAGAAACCCCACTCGAGACACTCCCAACATACCTTAGACAACCAACACGGCTGATCCATGTTTTATGCTACTGCAAATGACCACTCTCGTCATCCTTCATTATCTTGTGGGTGGAGCATTTCAAGGAGTATGAAATTGACACTATCCAATCTGAAGCATTCAAACACAGCGTAAGAATATTCTTCTTTTTCAGTGTTTATATGAGCGTGATGTCTGGATCTTTCGAGTGGCGTCATGTTCATTTAAATTGTCAGTGCTTGATGTAATTGTTACCGTTGATATTGAAATGTTGATTTGTATTTCGCTCCACTCTCATGGACCAATCAGATCCATAAGAGTGGCCGAGGTTACTTAATAGAATGGATGTGCCTGCGGAGTCTCGCAGTGATGAACCTGGAGTTTTGAAAGAGGTAAAAGTATTCGAATCCAATAATGCTTGAAGGTTGACTGCTATATATCCCCAGCTATGCAGAAGCAAATCCTATTGCTTTTGGTAGGTCATTTATATTACCTTCCTACTTAATATTATTAAGTATAAAAATCGAGAGAATTATCACACACTAGATAATGAGTCAATTAAAGAAGCTCGTATTAAGCCGAATCTTGATTTGCTTGAATTTGTTGTTGAGGATGGGCGGAGTTCTTTTGTTGAGTCTGTTGGGGAGCAGATGTATGTATCTGTTTTTCTTCAATACTATCATCCTTTAAGAGACACATATTTACTTCGGTCAAACACCGTCGCATTTCCGAGGACGTTACTTGGATACTTTGTCAATGGTAAGCCGTATATCTGTGTTTGACATACTAGATGAATGCCACTTTATACCGCTTAAACGAGACGCTTTGGTTTTGGATACGTGTAAAGAAGCAGCTAAAGGTATGTTTCTTTTTCTCGGAGTCTTAGCTATCTCTGTTTACCGTTACATCTCTTCGAAATGAAACTAGTTCATATTCTGTTTCGATAACTTGTGAGTTGGGGATATAGATCCACCACCGATATCCTAACCAGCTTTTGCCTGGACTTTAGTATCTAGTGGCACTTCAAAAGTGAGATTGCAAGAGTACCGTTTACATTTTTTCTATGTGAAGTGTCCCTCTTTTTACTTTTATTCATTTCAAATGCATTCTACTAGTTGGATATAACTTACCAAGATTATCTTATGAGCGTTGTTTTTTCATAACTACCACATCCCATCAATTTACACTCTTCCTAGATATGTGAAACCTTGGTTTGAACAATCAAGTAGTATCCAGCTATCATGTACTAATCACACTTTGAGGTGCAGCACACATGATATATCCATTACTTAGATTACAAACTAGCACTTCGTGCTACATACGACTTGGAAGTGTAATATGGCGGAAAAGATTTAGGCCTGACGATCTAGTCTCAATTTATTGGAAAGTAATCCGCAAAACTGTTTTTCTAAGCATATTTGTTTTTGTGTGATTAATCTGTCTGTAGGCTTGATGTTTTATACGACAAATCTGGTCTGTGGATCGGCAGTTGTCTTTTGTATCACTATCGTGATGACCCAACCGAGCTATATTGGCTGGAACATATGTTCCTGCAGGTTCTACCATGCCAGGCAGGTCGATTGGCGAACGGTAAGACTAAAAGCAGCAACTCAAGGTCTGAGGGCGAAGTCGTACTGCTGACTGTAGAGAGGTGTGACAGCAGTAAGGTGTTTCCCTCGGACAACCAGCATGACAGCGATGCTGCCTTCCCACAAGGAGGGGTGGGGTTAGAAAAGGTCGACCCTAAAAATGTCACACCTCACCTTACCTCACGGATTTCCGTCTCCGGCGGTAAGGCCCCTTGAAGAACGGAGCTAACACGTCAAAAACCTTCCACAAAAAGGCCGTGCGCGACCGGCCTCAAGCAGTTGTCCCTTGGGCTCTGCGGTCACGCTCCCAGGTCGTCAAGACCAACACTAATCCAATTTCCTTTTCAGGTTCCTCAAGAAATACCCTTCCACGGTGTGGGCAGCCGGGAAGTGACATCAGCCCTCATACCCGTAACAGCACAAGAGACCAAGGTGGTCACATTCAAATCCTTCCTACACCTCCTAATACTTCTCTTATCCTCCCGACTAACCCTCCTCACGTCTCTTTATCACCTCGCACCGCTAGGGCAAACGATTCGAGTACGTGGAACGCCATTCCTGGTCTCCTGAAACCACGCTCTAAACTACACGTAGGAGCTTTTAACGTACGAACACTTTGCCAAATAGGACAGCAGGCTTCCTTAGCTAAAACTTTAGAATCTCGCGCCATCGATGTGTGCTGCGTCTCCGAAACGCGCATACAGGATCCAAGTAGCGTCATTCATTTGACCTCACCATGCCAAAATAAAGAACCGACTCGATTTACGCTTCGTGTATCTGGAAGCCCTGATTCTGCTTCCCGTGGCCTCGCCGGCGTAGGTATAGCATTGAGTCCTAGGGCAGAACTAGCTCTCTTAGAGTGGATCCCAGTAGACAGTCGTTTGTGCGCTGTCCGACTGAACGGAACAGTAAGAATCCGGAAAGATAGGGACACTCGTCGTTGCCTCTTCGTCGTCTCTGCCTATTCTCCCACTGACTGCAGCTCAGATGATGTAAAAGATGAGTTTTACAGAAAGCTTTCGGACCTTCTCCGAAAAGCTAGGCGCTCGGATGTAGTAATAGTGGCCGGTGACTTTAATGCTCAAGTAGGTAAACTAAGCGATAAGGAAAGACACCTAGGTGGATCTTATGGTGTCGTGGCTCAAAGAACAGATAATGGCGACCGTCTGTTGCAGCTATGCTCAGATAACCGCCTGTTCCTTGCAAATACTAACTTTAAGCATAAGGAAAAACATCTTTTAACATGGCGACCCCCTAATTCGTCCCAACGTTGGACCCAAATAGATCACATCGCTATCAGCCACCGATGGAGGGGCTCGATAGAAGACTGTCGCTCATTCTGGAGCACATGCCTAGATTCAGATCATGCTCTAGTGCGAGCGCGTATTTGCTTGCGTCTTACTGGACGTAGGAAAGACGCTGCAAGGAAACCTCTTAGGGCCCTACTTAATGATAGTCAAGCTAAGAGTATATTTCAGGAACAACTAGGAAAACAGTTAGGCAGCCATGTATGTGATGCCCACCCCGATGCAGCATGGAATGATATCCGAAAAGCTGTGGAAACAGCAGTGATATCTGCTAGTAAGGTAAACCAGAAGGTTAGGGAGCAACACTGGATCTCAGCAGCATCTATCTCACTGATAGATGCTCGGAAACACATTCCACCTGGCTCTGAACATAATGAAGAGCGGAGTCAGCTTAAGCGCAAGCTGACAAGAAGTCTACGCAATGATCGCGAACAGTGGTGGGTAGCGAAAGCAAGAGAGATGGAAAAGGCAGCGGCAATAGGTAATAGCAGACAATTGTTCAGACTCGTTAAGGAAACCGGAATTAGGAACCCGACCGTTAGCGAAACAATCTCAGAGAAAGATGGACATATTATTCATTCTCAATCCAGGAGATTGGATCGATGGGCAGAACACTTTAGGGATCAGTTCAACTGGCCTTCAGCCACACTTCGGTTTCCCACGATCTCCAGTCAACCTGAATGGCAAGTTAATGTAGGTCCTCCGTCCCTTTACGAAGTTGAAAAAGCCATAGGAAATCTGAAACGAGGGAGAGCAGCAGGCCCTGACAGGTTTACTCCTGAGATTTTTAAGGATGGTGGTCCAGTATTAGCAATGAGATTAACTGAGGTCTTAGGTAGAATTTGGGAACTGGACGTAATCCCATCTGACTGGTCTCAATCACTGATTGTGCCAGTTTTTAAGAAAGGACAAAAGTCCTCTTGTGACAATCACAGAGGAATCAGTTTGACTAATATAGTGTCTAAAATATTAGCTTCAATAATACTTCGACGCCTAACTAAAGCTCGTGAAGAGCAGACTAGAGAAAACCAGGCTGGTTTTCGACCTGGACGTGGTTGTATAGATCAGATATTCACACTACGTCAGGTTCTAGAACACAGACACACATTCAGACGCCCCACAATGGTAGTATTTCTCGACCTTAAGGCGGCATTCGACTCGATTGATCGTGAGGTTCTATGGCAGTGTTTGTCACTGAAAGGAGTACCAAAGAAGTACATTAACCTTATAAAGGCTCTCTACTCGAACACAACTGGTCGAGTGAGAGCTTATGGCGAACTGTCATCAGAATTGATTACCTCAAGTGGTGTTCGTCAGGGCTGTCCACTCTCCCCATTCTTGTTCAACTTTGTCATTGACGTACTTTTAGAGATAACACTCTCCTCATCTAAATTTACAGGGGTTGAACTTCTACCAGGAGGTTCACTTGTTGACTTAGAATATGCTGATGACATAGTTTTATTTGGTGAAGACGCTGACAAAATGCAGAGTCTTCTGACCACTCTAAGCAACAATGCAAGCATGTTCGGGATGCGATTCTCTCCCTCGAAATGCAAAATGTTGCTTCAGGATTGGGTTACATCGACACCCGAACTAGTGATAGGGAGTGAAGTAGTTGAGTGTGTCGACCGCTTCACTTATCTTGGAAGTCTCATCAGCCCTTGTGGTTTAGTGTGTGACGAAATCTCAGCACGGATACAGAAGGCTCGACTAGCTTTTGCCAACTTGCGTCATTTATGGCGTAGGCGAGATATCCGTCTATCAACCAAAGGACGTGTTTACTGCGCAGCAGTTCGTTCCGTCCTACTTTATGGCAGTGAAACATGGCCGGTAAGAGTAGAGGATATCCGTAGGTTACTAGTATTTGATCATAGGTGTCTTCGAAACATTGCTCATATATCATGGGACCATCGAGTAAGTAACACAGTTGTTAGGAAACGGGTACTAGGTAAGGATGGCAAATCAATTGATGAAGTAGTGAAACTTCATCAGTTGAGATGGCTGGGACACGTGTTACGTATGCCCAACGACCGACTGCCTCGACGTGCTATGTTCAGTGGTATAGGAGTAGGTTGGAAGAAAGCTAGGGGCGGCCAAACCAAAACATGGCACAAGTCCATGAAGTCACTGACAAGTGAACTGAGTCATGTTGGTAGGTGTAGACTACCTGGTTGGGGACCGCGAGATGACAGCAACCGATGGTTAGAGACCCTGAATGACATGGCTCAAAATCGTTTGCAATGGCGCAGGTGCATCCACTCTCTGTGTTCTCCCAAATTCTAATCTTCTGAATTCTTCATGTCCCTTTTTTTCCTCTTTCCAAATTTCTTTCACTGGATTATACTCTTTAAATAACATCTCCAAACCCTAATCTTCCCGATTACTGCTTATACTCTTATTACCTCTACCACTACGGGATTTGAATCGACAAGTGCATCTCTGTGCTAATGTGGTGTGGCAACTCGAACTGATGTACGTACGTACGAAGTTCTACGTTGTTACTGACTGACTGACTGACTGTATCACTTTATCCAAAGGGTCGTATCAATACCCTCGTTTCATGAGCAGTCATCACATGGCCACATCTTATTATTGTAGGTCATTTTGATGACCGATATTGTATCCATTTACTGTAATAATGACCGAAATCGTTCGTTTTTCAAATTGTCTATAAGTGTTACTTTATACAGTTGCAAGCAGCCTAACAAAATGTTTTTATTGGCTTATTCTATAGATGTATTATATTTGATCTGCTATATCGTTACGTTTTTGACATTTTGAGGCACAGTTGGTGGTAGGAGTAACAGAAAATTATTTGGATCATATTTATCACAAAGAAAACTTGAGCCTTGTTGTTTACTTAGTAAATCTCGTCTTAAGTGGTATTCATCAGTTCTTAACATCTGTGAAATATGGTTTTGCGATAATGGATAATATGCATGAATTTCATGTATTTAATCAGTTATGTCTTCTAGGTGTTACGTGTGGACCAACTGCTAAATGATTAGTACTTGCGAATTCTGAGCACTATTCATCTGAACTTATCAACCTTCAACAGGTCTAATTGTATACACTTTATTAGAGTTAGTGTTATTCACATTAGTGAGAATTCTCAAACCCTGAAATTAGTTTATTTATGCGATTGCAATGATATTATTTTTCATCATTATGAGTACATGAACCTGTATTTGACTCATTGTACAAACTGAGGCTTGTGTTTTAAAAAATAAATAGCTGTCTAGATATTCGGCCCTGTATATTGTAACCTATAGTACTCTCCATAAGCATTTTGGCATTTTTCTTACCAAAACTCACTAATTTTTCCTTTAAGTAATCCAACGAACTTTTGTCGGTTTGAGGTTATTGTTAAAAGCTAGTTTTCTCAGCGTTTTTAACAACTATTTGTCGCTTTTTTAGTTTCGGTAACGATGTTTTTTCCATCGACATATTGAGACAGAACCAGAATTTGGGCAATAAATCTCGTTTTATTACATCCATTTAAGTCATCTGCTTTGAGCTACTAATGGTTTTAAGTCGTGTTTCTTTCATAAAGTCAGTTTCTGTGAGAGATTTCTGCCTCACACAACTAACACTTTTTAAGCCTCTTCGTCTGTATTGTTTCTTGGATCCTTTTTATATATTACTTTTATTTAGCATTCATTTTGTAATTAGGCATCATTTACTAATTTGTTTTTTCCCTTGTATGTTGCGATTTGATGCTTTTAGTACCAGTCTCTGCATTTGTATCCTTACCTATGGAGTGGACGTCATCTTTTTTACCTATATTTTTCTTATTTATTCGGATATCATTTATTTCATTGACGAATAAATTTTTTAGGGACTAATTTATCTATATAATTTATTCATTATTAATTAGTTAAAGATGTATGTTTAGAATATTCGGAACCATATTTCATATAGTCGTGTCTGTTTTCTTTCATAATACTTTTCAGTTGATAAGACAAACCAGAATTCTGATTCATCAACTTCAACTCCTGTGGGTCCCGCAGCATTCGTTTCTGCCCGTCTTAGGACTGCTGATGCAATTGCACTACGAGGTCCTATGGCGAGTCGTCGTAAGCCTGCAGATAGTGATCCTGATGTTATATTTCTGAAACAACAGGTCCAAGCACCATGGTGCCCAGTACACTACAAACGATTTATTGTAGGTTCAAAATTAATAAATAATATTTTATGTGCCATTTCATAATTCAGTCTTTTGTATGAACAGTAGTTTAGCTTTACAAATAATCACTAATCAAGTGATGTGTTTAGTACTTAGTTAAGTACTTTGTATCAACGTACATGGATTTCATATCCCTAGAAGCTCAGGGAAAATTAACTTCGAGTGAAAGTAAATACATGTTCACTGCATGGGAATCAAATCGAAAGGTCACAAAGTTTTTAAAAACATGAAATTGAGTTTAGTACTAATAGTTGAAAACTTCGTGATAAATACAATTAATCATTATTTGCAAGTGGTCGGCCAGACTGGTATTAATAAAGGTAAATATTAAATGCGTACTTGTACACTGATGTCTTGATTTTTAAAACATCCAGCTTCGAGTCAATGGATTCCTAGTTTGAACCCATTCTTACATACGTATATTACAAAAAAATGCAATGAAGCAAGAACGAATGAATGAAATATTCAGTTTTTCGGGTCAGTCAGCCACAATGTAGACCAGAGTCAAACAAGGCTGCCTACTCTCCCCCTTTGTTTTTCCTCTGAATTATGAAAACCCTGACATATGACGAGAAGCACATAATAAAATGGATAGCTTGGATGCAATTAGACGATTTGGACTTCGCAGATCACCTTGCCCTTCTATCCCATACACATCAATAAATACAGGTCATGACAAAGTGTAGCAGCAGCTTCTGCATCAGTAGGCCTCAACATACACAATGAAAAAATCAAGATCCTCAAATACAACACAGAGAAAATTAACCCAATCTCACTTGGTGGAGAAGCTCTGGAAGAGATGAACACTTTCACGTACTTTGGAAACAGAAACGATAAACTAGGAGGATCTAATGCAGATATGAAGGCACGGATTGGCAAAACAAGATCAGCATTCCTACAATTGAAGAACATACTGAACACAAAGCAACTACCAACCAATACCAAAGTCAGAATCTTCAGTATGAACATAAAGACAGTCCTACCGTAAGGAGCTGAAACTTGGAGAACTACTACAACTATCATCAAAAAGGTAAAAATATTTATAAACAATTGTATGCGTAACATACTGAATGTCCGTTGGTCGGATACCATAAGCAACAGCCTACTATGAAAGAGAAAAAACCAGCTTTCAGCTGAGGAGTAAATTAGGAAGAGACTCGAAGTGGATAGGACACACTGAAGAAAACATCAAAATGCATCACGGGGCAAACGCTAACCTGGAATGCTGGAAGAAAACGGAAAAGAGAAAGATCAAAGAACACCGTCAGTAGTTTGAAACAAATATAAAGAGGATGAATTGCAACTGGAAAGGATTGCACAAGACAGAGTTGGATATAGAATGCTGGTGGGTTTCCTATGCCTCTCCATGGGGGGTAACAGGCGTAAGTAGGTAACCAACCACAGAGTAGGACGAGACAAATATATGCACTGGGTCCAGTTGCCGCACCTCATTAGCACAAAAAGCGAACACCAAATTCATAGAAGTAGTTACTTCAATGATAATGTATAAAAGAAAGATTTTATATAAGGATATAATACATGAAGAAAGAATTAGTTGGTATAAAGATAGAAAGCAATTTTAGTCTCACAGTTTAAGGGAAGACAGAGGTTGTATACACCTACGCCATGGTGATCGATTCTGAGCCATGTCATGCAGGGTCTCCAACCATTGATTACGATAGTCACGCGGACCCCAACCAAGTAGTCTGCATCTACCAACATGTTTCAGACCCGAAGTTAGTGACTGCAATGACTGATGCCAGGTTTTGGTTTGACCGCCCCTAACTGTCTTCCATCCATCTCCAATACCAGTCAGAATTGCACATCGCGGTAATCGATGTTCAGGTATACGTAACACGTGATCCAACCATCCCAGTCTATGAAGATACACGACCTCATCAACTGATTTACCATCATTCCCTAATACCTTGCGTCTAACTTCATTATTACCTGCCCGGTGATCCCAGCAGATGCGAGCAATATTTCTGAGACATCTGTGATAAAATCCTAGTAACTTACGAGTATTCTCTACTATTGATGGCCACTTTTCGCAGCCGTAAAGTAAAGCAGAATGAACTGCTGCACAGTATATTTTTCCGTTAACTGATAGATGGGTATTTTGCCTTCATTATAGGCGACGTAAGTTGACAAAAGCCAAACGAGCTTTTTGAATCCGTGCAGAGACTTCGTCAGACACCAACCCATTAGAGCTGATCAGAGTTCCAAGATATGGGAAGTTGTCGACGCGTTCATCTACTTCGCTCTCTATCGTTAGTCCCGGTTTTGACTCAGGCCTTATGCTTAAAATTAGTGCTTGTTAAGAATAAACGATCATCTGAGCACAGTTGCAGCAGACGGTCACTATTATCTTTTCACTGGGGCGCAATACCAAAATACCCACCTAAATGTCCTTCTGTTTAACTTAAGCTACTTACTTGAATATTAAAGTCACCTGCTACGAGTACTGTGTCTGAGTGCTTGACTTTTTGAAGAAGTTCAGAAAGCTTTCTGTAAAATTTATCTTTCACTTCATCCGCGCTGCAGTCAGTGGGAGCGTAGGCAGAAACGACAAAAAGGCAACGATGTGTGTCCCTATTTTTTCGTGTTCTTACAGAGCCGTTTAGCCGAACACCACATAGGCGATTGTTAACAGGGATCCATTCTAAAAGTGCTTGTTCTGCCCTCATACTTGGTGCTATATTTACACCCGCCAGTTGACGAGAGGTAGCCATCGGGTCTTCAAATAAACGGAGGGTGTATCTCTTCGGCTCCCCGTTTTGGTGAGGATCTTGTATGTGTGTTTCGGAGACAGCATGCATCAATGGTACGAGATTCTAGGATTTTAGCCAAGGAGACCTGGTGGCCGATTTGAAATAGGGTGCGTACGTTGAAGGCTCCAATATGTAGTTTGGAGCGAAGTTTCAGTAGACCTGGGACAGTGTTTTGCGCACTAGAATCGTTGGCCGTGTTAACAGTTGGGGACGAAGTTTTGGGTCGAAAGTCGATGTAGGAGGAATAATAGGAATCAAAGAGGGACACTGATTATGAATACAGTACTGTTAGAAGTATGATGGCGGTTCTCACTTTCCGGTCGCCCACACCGTGGAAGGGTTCTCCTAGAGTTACGTGAAAAGGAAATCGGGCTAGAGTCGTCCAAATTTTTTTGATCAACGAAACAAATTTGTGTCGACAGCAGAGGAGACTATTTCAGCGTACTTTCAGTCTTCGAGTTTTATTCCTAATATTCATTCAACAGTTATGTTCTGTTCTGTTCTGGGTATGTATCAATTTTCACTAAAGTTCTGTCTTTGTAAAGCTACTATTTTGTACTTTTCGTAGTACTGTAGTATGTGCTAATTCTACGAACAGATATAAGTAGTATGTATCAGGAATTGGAAGTACGATGCTTACTGACAGAAGAGGAAAGTGGGAAGAGTAAAAAAAACAAAACCAGTTGGAGTAGCAACAGGAATAGAAGGAGGATGGAGTTTGTAAAAGATAATTCAAGGAAGACGTGCAAATGGTGTATTCAATGTATTGTTTTTCATATATTACAAATTCAGTGTGTGATTTTGTATAATACAATAGATTGACTTGCCCTGCCCAAGTCTTCATTCATTATAGTACAGATTAATAACATTTCTGAGATGAGTTAAGTTGCTTACTTTATGTAAAACCAAACAGCGTAACTCATATTTCTTAATAAATAGGGTGGTAATTCAGTGATTAAATCAGTTGTATTCCAACTATTTGCTCTCAGATTCAAGCCTCTCCCTACCTAGTGTGGTTTCGGCACCTGATTATTATTCCTAGCATTCACATGAGAAGTGTAGCTGAAAGCTTAGTACTTGAATTTTCACTTTATAAATGCGTAGGTGTACCGTTTATAAATTGTACGACAGCTGTATATTCTACGAGGTTCAAGTGTTGTAAGTGTTTCTTTTAACAATTGTTGTTCAGTGTGTACTTCATTTTCACTAGACTAAAAATCCGGCTACCAAGTATCAGTAGAATGTATCTAGTATTATTTGTATCCATACATGCATAAACTTAGTTTGAGTAAGGTAAGATAAAAACCGATTATTTGGCTATAATTTCATGTTATTATAACGCTTCTGTGTAATTCATTTTATTTTATTAGCCTAGTGAAGCCTTTGAAAGGCGTATTCCTTTATTATATCCAAATGATGATATGCCAGAATTGACTAGAAATCGTGTAACAGGTCCAAGTCAAGAAGAATATGTGAACAATTTGTTAGCTTCAGTAACACCACATGTCGTTGAGTAAGTATAAAATTATTGTGTTTTTCTTCACTTCGATTTTAATTATTATGAACACGGAACATTTTCTGTTTTGTAATTCCTTACAGTTTCAAAGGTAATAATCAAAGATTATTTAATTTATTTGAACATATAAACATTGATACCAGGGGCACCAAATACATATGCGCCACACAATAACAATGAGGTTGTGAAGAGATAGAGGATGTAAAGTGCATATGATAGCGTTAGCGGGACATAAATTGGAATAAAGCACATTCCGTGCAGGATTGTGTTGGTACACACTGATTGCCTAATTCTTATCTAATCAGCGCTAGTCAATACTTGGAGAAGACTCTAGAATCTTCTCTTGTAAAAAATATAAATGTACTAAAGTTTTTCTTGTTGTGCTTCTTACTTCCATCTACCTTTGTTATCTGGAATGTAATGTCTTTCCTGTTCAACCGTGTTCTGATTTGGGACTTCTCGAGTGAATTAGTGTCCAAGAATACTAAGCGATAGGAATGTCTGGGTCGTAATAAGAGAAACTATAGCAAATAGAAAGAACAACGAATAGAAATTAGTGTATGAGAGTGAACTAATAAATAATAATAATGGGAGAAATAGTTCACTTATCAAAAATATAGCTAGGAAGAATTCTTTCAGCTAAAGAGGTTACGTCCATTATTATGAAGAAAGTTACAGTAGGATCACCACTGGCTTCTCTGAGCCATATCTGATAATATTCGCAGCCACTGTATTGCACCACCTCTCGGGCCCCAACCAGGGAGTCGTGAAGGGTCAACAAAAGCCAGTCCTGTACTGCATTCTTTCATACCACGACACCATGTCATACACTGACCACCTCTCAATGGAAGAAATATTACTTAATTCTTTCAAATATTGCTTAGTAATTTCCTATGTTGATAAAAAGACCAGTACTTTAGTCTTCACTAATTATCAAATCCTACTGTTTTTGAAATATGATAAGATCACTGGGCAAAGTAACACCAACATTAAATGAATATACAGAATATATGGCTTATTCGTTATGAATATGAAGTCAGTTCTCGATACATCTATACTAATCCTTTAGCACTCAGATGGTATTTCTAGTTCAAACATACACGATAATTGTGTGCTATGTTCGCAACTTGAATAACGCAGAATACGGTATACAACTACGACACTCGAGCGTATAGAATCACACACTTGCAGATCAGAAGACTGGAGAAGTGCTTGTTGGGTAGGAATCAAAATGTACAGAAAATCACGGGTATTTATAGCTATTAGCGTTTGCTATGTCAACATTATAATTCAGCCAATCCGCAAAGAGGCATGTCATGCTACTATGCAATACTAGCCTGCCTCGTTGAAATCATGTTTTGATTAGATGGAAACTCTTCGGCTCCTTTAGGGCCTCTGGAAGCTCAGTCGTAGTTCTCGGAGGCCGTCCCAAAAATGTGGCGCGTAGCCCATCACTAAATAATATAAATGTTCTTTCTGTTGTACTAGTCAGTCACCACTTTACAACAAATTGGATTTTCTTATCGGAATTTCAGTGGGAAAATTTAGTTGAAATCCCTTACATTCGGTAATAATCCAACAAGATTAAGGTGATTCATTTCCTTACCAAGATTTTAATTTGCATTCTCTACTGCACCAATTGATAACCTATTCATTCCCATTACTTTAAGCTAATAGGTCTAAACCCCAATAATAAAAATAGATTATCATTGTCAATTCGTGACAGTAGGGATAAAACTTAGAGTCATTATCTTCTTGTTAATTTCCTACAAAAATACTTGACTATTCTTAAACTGTTTGATGTAGGCTATTTCACCAAATTTCAACCTTTGTGTGAGTAGTTAACTAAAAAAGGATTTTTCAGCGTAGGTTATACAGGAATAAATACTTTACCATTTTTGAGTTTATACACGAGTCTTTCCCATAGGACTAGTTTAACATTATTCGAATTTATCGTAAATGATGACATAATGGTCTAAGCACTTGGCTCTAAAATAATGAGTTGCAGGTTCGAACTCCGCCCTATACACTTTGATTATCACAACGTGACGGTTATTTTGGGCTCCCACAAAACAGTATGACTTAAAGCCTAGATCACAAACCTGTACTTGATGTATGATGAATTCAAAAGTTGGGTACATAAATTAGCTTTACTTTCCACATTTACCAGGCAATTCTCTGTTTTACATGCCAAGTACCATCTTATTGGTAGAACATATAGATTATACCAACTATATCCTTGTGATTTATATATTGACTAGTTTTTATACTGTTTCACCAATGCATAATATATAATTTGTTCACTTAATTTTTTAGTCGTAGTCGCACGGAGCCTGTTAAACTGCCTACTTTGGGAGAACTCATTCAAACAATAATGATAAAAGGTAATATTCTTACTGTTAGTTATATATGCGCAGAACCTTCAGTATGGCTTTTTGTAGGTGAAGATATAGTTGATTTGTTTAGTTTAATAAGAATATTTTTCATTACGTTACTCTTTACTATCTTCATTTCGGTCTTTAGTTAATTATTTGTTAATCAATGGGTAAATTAGGCATGCTTTCTTCGATTGAACATTTTTACGTTGAGTATAAAAGCAGGCTGGTTTTCGTTCCGGTCGAGGATGTATTGATCATATCTTCACCCTCCGCCAAATGTTAGAACACCGTCATACTTATCAAAGGCCAACAATCGTAGTGTTTCTTGACATTAGGGCTGCCTTCGATTCGTTGGACAGGACTGTTCTCTGGGATTGTCTATTGAAGAAGGGTATGCCTGAGAAGTTTATTAACATCTTAAAGGCTCTATATACAAACACCTCAGGCAGAGTGAGGGGATATAACCACCTCTCTCCATTGTTCCATTCGAGCAGTGGGGTTAGGCAGGGTTGCCCAACCTCACCATTCCTCTCCAACTTTGCCATCGATGATATTCTGGAAACAGCTCTGATGGATGTAAGTAATGGCGGTGTGGATCTGTTGCCTGGGAAAGAATTCTCGACCTTGAGTATGCGGATGATATTGTCTTACTGTGCGATAATGCCCAAGCCATGCAATCCGCATTCAAACAGTTGGCAATTAGTGTCCGTAGGTATGGTATGTGCTTTGCACCTTCGAAGTGCAAAGTACTTCTACAAGACTGGCAGGATTCTGATCCTGTACTCACCCTGGATGGTGAGCAGATAGAAGTAGTCAAGAAGTTCGTGTATCTAGGTAGCTGCGTAAATGTTGGTGGTGGCGTGAGTGATGAGATCAATGCACGTCTAGTGAAAGCTAGAGAGGCTTATGTCAATCTGGGCCATCTTTGGCGCCTTCGTGATGTCAGTCCGGCTGTAAAAGTTTCAGATCTACAACGCGTCGGTGAGAGCAGTTCTGCTCTATGCTTGTGAAACCTGGCCTCTCCGAGTTGGGGACGTTAGACAACTCTCTGTGTTTGATCATCGTTGTCTCTTAAGGATCGCTGACATCCAGTGGCAACACCATGTTAGTAATGCAGAGGTTCGGCTTCATGTGTTCGGGCACAGAGCTGATAATGCAATTGGTGTCCCCATCTTGAAACCCCGACTTCGGTGGCTTGGACATGTTCTACGAATGTCGTCCCAGAGAATTCCACGTCGTGCATTATTTGCCTACTCTGGGACTGGTTGGAAGAAGCGGAGAGGTGGTCAGTGCATGACATGGTGTCGTGGTATGAACGCAAGTTGCAAAGGGCAGGCTTCTGTTGGTCCTTCACGACTCCCTGGCTGTGGTCCTAGAGATGGTGCAACACAGTGTCTAGAGACGTTATCAGATATGGCTCAGAATAGAAGCCAGTGGCGATCCTGCTATAACCTTCTTTTACTTTCTTCATAAAAAAATGGTTGTTTCTTCCTTAACTGAAATATTTCTTCTGATTGTACCTTTCCGTTTCCCCCATTATTACCATTATTATTATTACACTACCTTACACCAATCTGTTCATTATTGCTCTTTTTTTCTCTTTGAATTCTCATTGTTTTGTGTGGCGCATATATATTTGGTGCCCTCTTGTACCAATATTTATGAGTTCTAATAAAGAATTTCAACTTTTCAACTGGATAATTTTTGTTGTCTTTTAAAGTTACATCATTGTGTAAATTATTATTTCAAAATGGAGTAATCAGTGTACAGTAAACCGAAGAACCATGTACCTATTTATATTCGATAATTTTGTTGTTTGATTATATTTTCCTTGAAAAAGCTTGGACCAGATTGCCAGGCGAAACGTTGGATTTACTTAAAATTCATTCGCTGAGATTTTACAAATATATTCTTCTTTTTTAATGTCTCAAATTAACTCGGCGCCCAAATATTGTGAAACTATTCGTTCAAATTTAGACGAAAGTTCTTATTTATGGAGTAATCTATGTTATCTGAAATGTGATTGTTACCGTTAATGTGTATACTTAGTGTCTACACTCATATTTTATTGTTGGAAGTTGTAAGATTTGTTTGTTTCGACAATTTAAGTCGGCAAATAAACGAACTATTCTCATCTTGTGTTCAGTTTTTGCTACTGAATGAATTTAGTTTGGAAAATTTCATAATATGAATACATTTTACTTCAAAGTGTAAGTTACGTTGAGGAACTGTAAAATATTGTTGAGAACGCTAAATTCTAGAGAATGCTAAATATTAGGTAGAAATCCTTTTTTTGACTCACGTATTAATTTGTAGTACATTCTATTCATCGAATTCTCATCTTTCCTAATTCAATTCTGAATGACTCTCAGACTGATAAATTTTTCGACTAATAATCATTGGAATAGTTAACTTCAATGTAATTTAGTTTTCCCTGTATCTTCAGTAATACGTCTTCCTTACAAGACCTCTCTTTCTTCCATCAAATGGGTTACTATTATTATTGTTAATTGTTCAGTCTATCTAGTTCACATAAATCCCATTTTTTACTGTAAGAAATTTCATAATCGTTCGTAATCGCCAAATGCCGTTTCCATTCCACAATATACAACAATTGTTCAGGGAAGAGGAGGGTCTTAATCACGTCACTACCTTAATTAGGTATGTCAATTGTTGTGACTTTATGTCCGACTTTTTATCACGTGATTTATCCGCCAATCAAAATGCGACTTATACAATCTTAGCACTGTGCCAAACCAATGACGTTCGATCGGTATGGGCAGCCTAGCGTCCTTATTGGTCCTATGTCCGCCTAACCCATCCACTTAAGTCCAGAACACCAATACCACCTTCTGCTATGCGAATCGAATCATTTATTTCAGACATACTGGGTTTATATATCAATCAAACAGATCGCAGCGCACCATAAAATAAGAAATAACATTTGTACACAATAAAGCCAAAAAGTGGCTGTGAACGTGGGAGGCAATAGTCAATAAACTGAACATAGCTTAAGAACCGTAAATCGTACAATGATAAATTCTAGGTCAAAATAAAGCTTATAACAAATTGAATATAGATATACATAATCTAGTTACCGAATATTTATACCATGAGAATATATAAATAATAATAGTCCATTAATAAGTCTCAGACGTTACTCGTAATGTAATCTTCACTAGGATGTAGCATCAATATTCTATTCGAGCTTAGACTAACTCACAAAAAATTGTCATTCGCTCTTTCCAACTAAACCTTGTGTTAGTCGGCTTTACAGACTAATTTATGCATACAACCTTATCACTTCTAAACCCTTACTTTCAGTCTTTAATGTAAATATAATGTTTAGTCCTAGAAACGTATCTTTAATCTATTTTTTCGACGTTATTTCTTTCGTCATTATTTCGTAGCACAACTTATTCGATTCGACAAGTTAGTTATTTGTTTACGTGAACGCTTCAAAGATCCACATTCAGTTACTAATACTAGTGTTTTGCAATACTTACCGACATTTGCTGTTCTACTCCGCGGATGGTGGGTCGCTAAAAGGTAATCAATGTTTTTCACATATCCATAACATGCCTTTTCTTAGTATTATTAATTATTTGAAAGTAGTTAAGATACCCTATTATGCACCACCTAACTCTTATCAACAAGTTGTAACTCTGTAGGATTTGAACCATGGTCACTTCCATGCAATAATAATAATACGCTTTTATTTTTAATATGTAGTATTAATTTATATAAATATTCGTCAATAGTTGAATGAATAGTTCCACAGAAATTAGGCACTCAGTGTATTTGAAGACATTATTTATAAAAATTATATTTGAAGTAATCTCAGCGATTGGATTCTAGATATTTTTCTGTATTTGTCATGTGTTTTATTCTTCCAGTGAAATACTTTATCCTCCAAATTCATTCAGTGAACATAGTGGTACACCAAATACACTATTGATTCGGGCACGTGATTATATTGTAGGTTTCATTTTATAATATTCTATTCTTTTAAAACTCTAGATGTTTATATTGGAAAAATAGAAGTTACGGTAGAGATTATTTGATACAACGATAAGTTACATCACAAACTGATTATCTAGACAAGCATTGGAAACCAGGAAGCAATGGACTACTGTTTTGTTCCAATATAGTACACCTCAGCAGTAGACATCTATAACCCTATCGAGAGTTGATATCAAAATGTGTAGAATTCTGAGTTAGCGCTTCATCATCTATCTGGATACACAGTACTAGTTTATATAGGTTTGTGATTCAGAAGACAGCTGAACATGGTCAAATAAAGATAAGATTCGAGTCTTGACAATTTTCTCGAAGAAAATCCATTACTTATTGTAATGTTATTTCATTTTTGTGGATATCCGCTTCTTGTACTACTCTTGAAGCATGGTTTACATCAAGCTATTTCTGTGGTGAAATTCATACGATAACTTCGTCAACTACATTTTTTAACAGTTTAGTAGAGTTACGTTTTTCTTTAATTTCAGTTGTGTATTTAATTTATATTACTAGATTTAAAAATATCAGTTTCTTTGTCAACATCCCACTATAGCTATGTCCGTCAAGTTGCTGGCAACTTTTAATTCTATTGATGATTACTTCTTATTGAGTTGTTTGTTATCAATAGGTACACTAAGGAAGTTCACCACGTTTGCTACTTAAACGCTCATCATCGATCTAGGGCCAGATATGAACCGTTGTTCAAGTGAAATGGATCGAGCGATGTCTCTCTGGTCTAATTACTTCCTCGTTTCCTTATTCGATTATGCACGTGATATTAAAGTTACCAATTTCCTCAGAAGTATTTGATTTGAACTAATACCCAGTGTTTTTTTCATCGACCTGGAGTGTGTGTAGATGGCATGTGTCTCTTTCTTTAGATTTCAAGTATTTTTTGGTTCATTATCTACTTTAATTATAGAGAATTTATAAGTTGGGAATCTAATGAGTTAGTGGATGACACCATCTCGACAAAAATATAATATACTTGAACTGTGCCAACTTGTCTCATCAAGTACACAAACAGAATATCCACCTACCTATCCAGCGGTCAGTAGTTTGTAGTGTATTACTTCGCATATATAAACGCAGAGCGTGTATAAGTTACAAGTGTTGAATCGTAAGTTTCGTCTCGGCATTATTCTTCACTTATAGTGAGAAACACTAGTTTCAAATGTATAATACTGGAAAAAATTGCTAATTTGGTTGATGATGTCGGGAATCTTCATCAACTGAGCTACTTAAAATACTTGTTACTTATGTGTCTATCAACTGTCAATCACAAAGTACTATATTGTCTTACATAATCATATGAAGCTTTTTTTGGGAAGTAACTTCAGTTGAATGTTTATTAACCAAGTATTCCTGTTTTATACATAATTTATCCTCACTACTGAGCAAGTTTTCATTGACTTGTATCGCTACAATAAGCTTGTCCAGTTATAAAGTGTCATTTGTCATACTTTAACTTAGCTTATCATTCAGTAGCATGATAACTTGAGATAAATTTTGAAAACAATTCTAATTATAGAATGAATCGATGCACATTTACTTATTCTTATAATAATCGAACTAGAATGAATTATTCTAACGTTCTATAATCTGCATAAATTTGTATATATTATATGTATATCTCTGTCGTTTCTTCTTAGATGGCTGTATTTCATCGCGGTGAACATTTAACTCGTAAAACTATTTCATGTATGACTAAAGTAGGTTAACTGCTAATTTTTATGATGTTAATTTTGACTCGATAGAAAATCTAATTACTCCTGAAGGGCTTGAAGAAAAAGCTGACTTGCTGCTGTTCTTAGAGATTTGAGAGGATAATTGTAGAGTATAAGAGACAACTGCTTAAGGCTGGTCATAACTGCACTTTTAAGATTATTTTTTGATAAGTTAATTCATGACTTCAAAGACTTTATCTTTAGCGACGGAAATTCGCGAGACAGTGTGAAGTGTACTATTTCCAAGGACTAACATTTCCTAGCCCTGTCAGTATGTTGTAAGATGGTAGTATTACTATAAATGCTAGTTGTCTGAATAATGTACCGTACTACTGAGACACCCCAGAACAATCGCCAGTCTGACTTTTTTGTTGGACCATGCGTTTGCTGTTTTTAATCTTACCATTCTCCGACGAACTTACTGGAGACAGTAGAACTTTAAGGGACAGTTGTTTCATTCAATACACTTCGTTTAGGTCATTGCGGAAGAAATGCCGAAGCATCATGTCAAGGTAGCAGCTATGGTTAAGATTTAAATGTGGGTTTAATACATCTAAACGATGGCAATTCATATTATTTATCCTATTAATATTTTTAATCACTATTCATTTCCATTATTACATGGGACACTTTCCTATCCCAATGGTCTTGAATTATTCATCTGTCTTAAATCAGAAGCATTTTTTAATTTTTGTTCCCAATTTAAATTTCATCACTTATTTGAACACATAAATAAGTACAAAGGGCTTCAAAATATATGTGCGCCACACAAAGTATTTATCATTAAATTTGTGTTTGGGCTGTGATATTATTTAGGTGCCCGGACCGGTATAGCTGATTCTCTTAAGGGGCCACACCCCGAGCTTTTGACTTAAAGATCTAATCCACAAGGCAATGAAGCAACATTAGGAGATGCGATCGCATGGTTGTCAGTGACCAACAATGGTTTCATACACCATTCGTTCCTGGAGCTCATTCATGTACACTGTTGGTTTGAAATCAGATTTTTTTCAACCCCCTAGGCGGATCCATCGTACTTACCAACTGGGTTTAAGCACTGGATATCCGGTTTTTTCCTCAATTTCGTAAACAGCACCCCTGTTACGTGGAGGCAGTGAGGAAGATTTCCATGACAGTCGACCCACTTGAATAATATACTTGATATTACTCTACTCCATCAATTGTATTGATGTTAAAGTTATTAGTTATCAAAACAGTAAAATTACTATTTTAAAATGCTTTCTTTGTACGCCAATTTACTACTGTGGACTAATCCATAAATACCATTATGTAATTGGTTGTGGGTGTGTGTTTGGTTTTTTCTTCAAAAAAGGAAACTAATCTAAAATATTAAATAGTTGTAGTAGTCGACAGGAAACCCTATGCCTACACGTCGTACTAGTTGGCACTTGTAAGGCAACCGTGCGTACCTGTTATATTTAGGGAACTGATGCTCTCTAATGCATTCAAATTGTCATCATTGATTTATTGCCCATGAAGCTTATTGCCTATGTTAGTTTCACACTTGTACTTTATTCAGGACAATTTATTAAAAATATGATTTGAGTAAAGAATTGTTTTTCTTTTTCAATCAGTTCCTTATTATTTTCATGCTAAAATATAGATTTTACACTTACGTTGTTAAGGAATACACTTTTCTCTGTATTGACTAATTCACTGTTATTTTGTGCCTAGTTACAATTCTGTCATTAAATAATCGGTATATGAATAAATTAACCTGAATTTAGATTAGTTCTTCTGGTATCTTTATCAGAAATACTTCTCTGAGAATTAAACTTTCCATTTTAGATAGAGGGCAGGAAATATGCGAAAAGTAGCATTCGATTCTCATTATGTTAAAATTGGAGTTGCAAATAATTAACTTAGTGCACAAAAATAAGTAAATTATCATGTAGACCAACAGAATAATGATGAATCAGTTTAACTGTTATATCTCGGTTTATTAAATTTTAACTTACTGCTTTGTAACAATACTATTTTTGATAGAGATCATGAATCGATCGATGTTAGACCACCATTGGAAACCTGGAGGAGTCTCATACAAGGACGAGATGGCCGTTTAGTGCTTCCAGGTTTTCAATGGTGATCTAACATCGATCGATTCATGATCTCAATCGAAAGCTTAACAATTTCCTCAACCACATACTGATAATACTACTTTTACTACCTATACTTTAAACATATCTCGTTTGTGACTGTTAGTTTAGAGTTTCGGTGTTTTTCTTATTGAATTAAAGTTCACAAATCTTTTCTATTCTAAGTTTAATTTTTTTGTGTTTAAATAACCAGTTCTCTATGCATTAATTATATTTTGTTGTTGTAATATTTAGGTGCCTACTGTTGAGGCTACAGAAATACTGAAATCTTTAGCTTGTAAAATGTCAACTACTCAGAAAGGTTGTGCAAATCATTGGAATTTTATCCGACCGATTATGATTTTATCAAAAAGTAAATACTTAATTATTCCGCTTCTTTTTTGTTTTATTCGTTTAACACTCGTCTCCTCTACGTCGTCGAAGTTAAATGATGCTTATCAAATGCACGAGCCTTGCATAGTTACCGATTGTACGTCAGTTGATTATCAACAACATATATGGCTTTGTAAAAATCTTATGTTTAGGGTCAAGTTGCCACAGGGCACGTGCACTTACTTCTGTTACTCCTAGTGGAGCATAGGGCGCCGACCAGCATTCTCCAACCCACTATGTCATGAACCTTCTTTTCTAGTTCCATCCAATTCTTGTTCATTTTTTTCATGTCTATTTCCATTTCTCGGCATAATGTGTTCTTTGATCTCCCTCTTCTCCTTTGGCCTTGAGGGTTCCAAGTGAGGGCTTGCCTTGTGACGCAATTGAGTGCTTTCCTCAATGTGTGTGCTATCCACTTGCAGCGCTTCGTCCTGACTTCTTCCTCCACTGGGATCTGGTTTGTTCTCTCCCACAATAGGTTGTTGCTGACAGTGTCTGGCCAACGAATCCGAAGTATTTTGTGTAGACAACTGTTAATAAACACTTGTATCTTCTGGATGATGGCTTTCTCAGTTCTGCAAGTGTCCGCCTCATACAGTAGAACTGTCGTGACATTTGTATTGAAAGTTCAGACTTTGATGTTGGTTGACAGTTGTTTGAGTTGCAGATGTTCTTCAGTTGTAGATGTGCTGCTCTTGCTTTGCCGATCCGCGCCTTCGCATTTACATCCGATCCACCGTGTTCATCAACGATGCTGTCCAGATATGTAAAGGTTTTACATCTTCCAAAGCTTCTCTGTCAATTGTGATTGGATTGGTGCATGCAGTGTTGTATCGGAGAATCTTGGTTTTCCCTTTGTGTATGTTGAGACCTACTGCTGTTGATACAGCTGTTACACTGGTCGTGTTCTCCTTCATTTGTTGTTGCGTGTGTTATAGAAGAGCCAGATAATCTCCGAAGTCTAGATCGTCCAGCTGCATTTTCGTTTCAAGAGTTCCTTGAAGTGCTCTACCCACCTGTTTCTGTTGTTTCATACAACGGTTTCATGTTTCCTTCTCTTGCAGCCTTTTTCGCCGTCATTGCTATATCTTCCACATATTTACGTTTGTCGGTTCTGATGCTCCTCTTCACTTGCTTGTTTACTTTCGTGTATCCAGATTGTGCCTTGGCTTTCTGTGCTTTTGTTCGGCTGGTGTCGGTTGCTGCCTTCTTGTTCCTCCTTTCTTGAATCATATCCAGTGTATCAACAGTGATCCATTCCTTGTGATGGTGCATCTTGTGACCCAGAACCTCATGACATTTTGAAGTGATCGCCTCCTTGATCCACTTCCAGTTACTGTCCATAGTAGTTCCCTCTCCATTGAGTATATTGTGAAAGGCCTGGATCCTATTGCTGAAAGCTATCTTAAATTTGTTGAGTTTGCCAGTATGTGATGTTGTCCGCCCCGTTGTCCAGTGCTTCTTAAGTTGTGGTTTCATCTTGGCGATCAGCAAGTAATGATCTGATGCTATATCAGCTCCTCTCTTGATTCTCACATCCTCCATCGTCCTCCTGAACTTTTTGTTGGTGCAGATATGGTCGATTTGGTTTTGCGTAGTGTGATCCGGTGAAATCCTTGTGGCTTTGTGTATCCGTTTATGTGGGAATATAATGCCGCCTATGATCAGTTTATTGAAGGCACGTGGGTTTGCAAATCTCTCACCATTTTCGTTTCTTTCTCCTAGTCCATGTCGTCCCATGATGTCTTCATATTCGGTGTTATCCATCCCAACCTTGGCATTTAGGTCTCGCATCAGAATGGTCAAGTCCCTTGTTAGGCATTTCTCAACGATTGACTGGAGCCTATCATAGAATTAATCTTTAGCGTCTTCATTGTAGTCGCTGGTAGGCTCATAGCATTGGATGACGTTCATTGTAATGCCCTCTTCCTTTGTTTAGAAGGAAGCTTTCATGATCCTGGATCCATGAGATTAACACCCTATAAGTGCTTTTTGTGCTTGTTTAGACAGCATCAGTGCAACTCTTTGTGTATGTGGGGCATTTTCTCTCCATGGCCAGAGAATAACAGCAGCTTCCCGGAAGCTAGTCTTTGTTGCCCAACCTGCGTCCAATGTGTTTCACTGGTTCGAAGTAATTCTAGGTTGTATCTTTTCATTTCTGCAGCAATTCGAAAGACACTCCCGGTCTCCCACATTGTACGAGAATTCCATGTACATAAATAAATGGTTGCTCTGGTTGTCAGAAGAGGCATCGGCCTCGTGAATTTCGAAGGAACTCGGCTTTCACCATGAGGCGTCATAACTCTTCTAAATGAAAACGTTTTAATACCTAGGGCAGAGTTTAAATGGTTTGAATTATTTTTTCAGGTTGACTTTTTTTATCGAGTTAGTTTTCTACGGGATGGAGTCGTTAACCCCATACCCAACTCCTTTATCCGGGCTTGGGACCGGCAGTAGCCCCAAAGGAGCTTCAGGGGGAGTTAGGTCACGCGCACAATTATAAAGAATTAACATGATGCAAGATAGATCTGTGCTACCCATTAGTAACTCATTTTCTATCGTGCTATTTTTTCCTTATATTTCATTGGTTAATTATAAGTTATCTATATTCCCTTGTTGGTTGCGACATTTTTATTTATCCGGCCATTTTGAACTGGCCATCTTATGCTTTTTTATGCTAAGAGTTGAATATATTATTACTGAATTTATCTCCTTCAATGTGAGCTACTTAACGTAAGCTGATAATTGTTTATTTTAGAACCACGCACTATCTATATTTATGTATCTATCAGCATTCTAAAAAACCAAGGGGATTCTTCTAACTTTGACAAGCCTCAGATGTGTTATTCCATTGAGTTCAACACATGATGCGTAATAAGAAGTAATTCGGTGTCTAAAAAAGTTATAGAAAATGTTAAATATACAGAACATAATTCAAAACGAAGTAATAAAAATGCATGAATTCATCTACATTACTGAAATTGATTTTGAACCACATCACCCATAGGCTCTAAAAATTGATAATAATTATCCTATGGATCCTTAGAGTGTTTTCCCCAATCATGTCAGTGAAATTGTGAACATCTGATATTTTAAAAACTGCGTAGTGTCCGTGGTGTGACTTTCACATTATCTCTTTTCGCAGTTAGTCAAAATTATCTAGCCAAATATCTTTCCTAAGGCTTATTTTATAGACAGAACCAAATAATTAAAATTAAAACACGAATTTCAGCGAAGGGATCTCTTTTCAACGAATTTATTATCAAGCTGTACAATCGGAATTAGTACTTTTACAAAAACAAAATTTTCATATATATACGATTGTACAGCTTGATAATAAATTCGTTGAAAAGAGATCCCTTCGCTGAAATTCGTGTTTTAATTTTAATGTTTAAATGGGAATTATCTGTCAAAACCAAATAACTTAATTTTACCCATTAATTTGTGATTTTGTCATGTTATCATCTCAATTTTGTTCGTCCATGCAAACTAAGAGCATTTGATTATAAAGTTCGCTTATGGTGAGTTTGTTCTACGTCTTTCAGACGATTGACTTCATTAGTCAATAACACAAATGATCTTTAACAGTTACGAAAGAGGTTAATGACTATCGGTTCACGCAGCTGCTTCTATTGTCAGTGCCCAGTTAGAACACGAAGGCAGCAAGCAAACTTACCGCCTATGATTGTATTGTTATTCTGACTCAAAAACCTGTAGAATTATATGCATCAGTTGCATGACTACAACTTACCGCGAACAAGAAATTACACTGTGTACATAGCTAGGTCATATGTGAGATAAAGAACTAAACAAATATGTCTATAATTCACGATAGTACAGGAACCGTAAACCATTTAGTTAATGAGGGAAATGAAAACAGTATAAAATGCAATAACCGTTGTATTTGCATACAATGCTTGTGAATTAAGGCCATATCGAGGCAATACGCACAGTATGCACATACACCAATAAGAGACTAATCAATTGCAGTCCTAAATATGGACGGGAAGATTCGGACAAACAATACCAAGTGAATTTAAACTTCACCCCATTGCACAAGCAAGTGGCTATCAGGACTCAATAGCTAACTGGATAACGCGATGGAGTTTGAAGTGAACAGTACTGAGTTCGAGCCCCGGAGTGAACATCAACTCTGAGGTGCAAGTACATCCAGCTGACGGGGCCCGAATAAGTCGAAACGCGTGTCCTGGGTTCCACTGCTAGCCACTATCCATCTTCGCATATATTCCTTGTATATAATGTTTGCACAAGCAAAATATCTGCCATAATTCCCACAATCTAACATGTCGAAATATATTTTTATTACTAATATTTAATAATTGCATAAATGCGACAAATTATAGGATTTCAATCGTTGTCAGTATTTATTCTTCGTTAAGTGTGTATCTTTACTTTTTGTTTTTTCGAAAAAAATTTTCAAGCGTAAATCTACTACGCTTACAATCTGATTTTTCTTCCTTCTCTCCCTCTCCATCTTAGATATCCAGATATTGTACAACAACAACAGGTTGCTTGGGAAATTCGCATTCGTCAATTATGCACACAATTAAAACTAGAACATCTTGTATCGGGTATGCCTTAGTCTAATATAATTTATGCTTCACGCATATACAGTTTTATATATAATACACAATATTTGCACTAAGTAGTAACTAACGTCATCTCTGTCTAGTCGTTAGCGTAGATTGAATTCCACTTTATATGCAGAAGTAGTGTGGATTATGTGAAGTAGTCACTTTAACTAATGGCCAAAATACAGCTTGATTAATACAATTCGACCAGTACTAAAAGTAAGTAAGTATAACACTGGTTATTTCTAAGTAATTGTTCAGTACAAATATGTCAGTCCCACAGAGAAACCATTTGTACTATGAATATTACTCAGTGATGACGTCTCTGACTACTGAATGACACGAATTTGAATCTCACATGGGGAATTAACTTTATCAAGAATGCAGATAAACTTCGATAATGAGTCCAGGTAACACTGAGGTTCTGACCTTACAAATACCTAAAGTTCCTGAATAAAATGTAATGTTGATTGTTAAGTGGATAATGAGAATATATCTCTTAAGTGGTGTTTATGTTCTGTTTCTTAATTATAGTTCACAACTTATCACAGGAATTACCGAAAAAATACTTTTAATTTGGAAATAAATTAATTTTGTCTGTCTAGTTTACAAGATCATGCACTAGTTTCCCAGCTGCATTTTTCACTTGAGACGTTTAGAGATAGTAATTGGTTAGTCCAACTAGATTTGATTAAGCCATAGTTCACAGGTATTGTTTATAGATGTAGTAATGTTATGTTCTGTCAGTAATTGGCCAAGTACAAGTTTATATATTTAGCTTCTAGCCACATTGTATGAGAGTTAATGCCACTACTGAAATAAAACGGGTTGCGTTCGTACCTGCGACTTGTTGATTTGAAACTGATAGTTTGACCCGACCCATCCATAGAAACAATTGATTTCGTAGTAGTTTGTGTTTTTATAAGTAGGTATTTCGGTATCAATATGCGTCATCATTACGTCATTTAGTCGGGAATTTTCTTATCGCTAGCTCTTTGTTGTACATATTTTTCATTTATGTAGTGAGTGTTAATGGCATATCCATTTTACGCTGCACTTTCCGTTATGTGATTTTTATTACCTTTTTATTTTAAGATGGAGTTCGACGTAAACGTAATCCTGGACAACATTCTGGTGAAAGTGGTTCAGATTCTGACACTGGCTTCAAATCACTTGTTTCAGGAGTACATATTTCAACCCCAAGTAAAAATACAAATCGTAAACGTTTACGTCAATCAAGTGTATGTCATACAACAGATACTGATAAAGATGCCAATAATTCATTAAAATCACCTGATCGGAAACGTGTACGAACTCAAAGTCTTTCATCGAGTTATTCTTCTGGTTTATCATCTCCTCATTCTACTACTACAAAATTACCTTGTCTTCAAACAGATGTTGTATCGTCAAAATTTTGTATACCTACTAGTCCACCACCTGTGAAAATAAATTCTCCGAAACTAAAAGTAAATAGTACACCTATTTCCTCAGATCTTCCTGATAATTCATCAACTACATTAGCAACAAGTAAGTTAAAGTAATATATATAACGATCTAAGCTACTAAAATTTAAGCCAGAGAAAGGGGTATGTGTGTAAGTTGTCACATGTAGTCATGCCTACATGTTCATCCACACATAATAATAATAATGACAAAGAAATGGATAAATTATTATTGTTTTAACAACACTGTCTGTTAAATAAGTTAATCAAAGGGCTTGACAAAATTAACCGTAACCAAACTTAAATGGAAAAAAGTGCTATCTTTTTCTGTAAGTACTCCGTAAAACATTTGTTGATTTCAGTTCGATTCATTTTCGTTATTTCTTTAAAACCTCAGATTCATTTGATAATCAGACAGTTGGTTGCAAACTGGAACCTCCTACTCCTGAGGATCCTGATCCTGATCTCCCTACTGCTGCTGCTGCGGCTAGTGTTACTGATTCAGAAATGAATGGACTCAAGCTTAAACGTTCACCATCATCCCATGATACATTTCAATCAGCTATCATGGACAACGGTCACAATGATACCAATGGTAACACTGAATTATCTAGTCAAACAGATCTTATTAGTAATCATATTGGTTTACCGTGTACACCTTTACAATCTGTTAATGATACTAATATAGACAATAACGACAGTGTTTTAAAATTTGACAGTGACAATGAAATGCCAGAATTACTAATGAATAATTCAATTAATTTTGTAAAAAATGTTTTAAATACTCAACCAATTGTAGCATTGTCAGCATTGACAAAAGTCTATCAGGTTAGAAATAATGTTTCCTTTATTGTTTTGTTCCGTTGATTCGCTTTTTTTCGAATATTTCTTTTTCGTTGCTTCCTTTTATTCTTTTCTATAGTATATACTAAAGAGAACTATATCAGTTTAAGGTATTATAATTAACAGTATTCCTAAGTAATTTTTTTCTTTATTGTAGCTAAATTGAAATATACACATATGTAGAATGTTAAATATTAACCAGTTCCAACCTTAAAATGTTTGAATACCATACAACCTAGTTTTGTGTTAATGCAGATTAAAAATGTCAACGTAACACGACTTTCTTTGATGTTACCGAATAAGTATAAATTCTGATTTGAAGGCATTTTATCGGTTAACAGTAAAAAATGAATTTGTGTGATACAATCATCACACAACTATAAAAATATCTAAATTGAATTGAGGGAGAAGCTTTGATGATCCTTTGAAAGTAGTAGTAAAGCTCATGTACCTGAAAAGCTGTGGGAGTCTCTGTGGCAGTGTTGCAGATGAGCTTAATCTGTGCATAGTACGGGATAAATCCCCATAACCATTTGCATGTCTTTGAATAATCAGATGTTCGATTCAGTAATATAAGCGTCTTTGTAATTCGCTAATGAGATTCAATCTATTCAAACTGAGGTTGTCAGCTGTTCGTTATCGCCTAATGATTGCTAATTTTCGACGGCTAAACCGTGTAAGTTACAATGTGATGCAGTGCAAAAATTTTACTGCTAATTATTCAATACGTGTTGGCATATTGGAACACATTTTTTAGTACCTCGGTTACACTATGATTTTCGTTTAAGTGGTCGAGCATTATCTACCGATTTTAGTTGTAAAAGGCGAAGAGGTGATCAATATATGATTGAATTGTATAAAGAGTTAAAAATTATTCTACAAAGCCATTAAAATTTGTGTCTCTGTTGTTGGCGAGTTTTAAGCATTATTTATTAAAAATAAGAACTTCACAAACAGCTTAGCTAAATGACGCATCAGAATCATATTTTACTAAATAATTATACTAGTATTGTGAATTATTAGCGCTTTGGTACATATAGCTGTCTCTTGTTGCCCATCTGTTATTTCCGTAATTCACCTTCATTTTGTTGTAGAAAAATGCACATCGTTGTATACTTAACCCATGATCACTATTCACAAAGTCATAATTTTATTGAACAGTTGAATAACAATTTAGCATTCTCTGTCTACATCAAAACTTCTTTGTGAACCAGTTTGTCACTCTACTCTTCTTTATAGAGACTAAATGTAAGATACTGAAGTATATGTCAGTATGAACACCATGCAGTGACGAAAATTACTCGTTATATATCATATCTATAAACTTAATACGTTTTAACCTCATTTGTTGCCCATTACAACGTTCTTACGAATCAATTAAGTTATAATTACAATTTGACTAGATTTTTTTTCCGAAATGATATAATAATGACTGATTTGTAATTTTTAGTTTATATCAGGGACTGACCCATAGCTAGACATCCAGTAAAGACAAGAAGGCACTGGACGTTTGTTTCGTCCTAGTATAGGACTCGACAGTATTCATCTACGGATTCCACCTGTTGTTTTTGCGGCAAACTTCGTCTACATCCGACGTTTTACATTCCTAAATTCAATCCAGTGCGTCATGCTGTTCAGTAGTTATCTAACTAGTGTCAGTCCATGATCTAAACCGCGAAATTCAGTAACATCCTTAAATCGTACAATATATATGTATATTTACTTATTTCAGCAACAGTTAGGTAATTTTGATGCAAATTTCTATTCTACACTTTGGAAGAATAGTCCACCACCTCCTCCAGGCTCTGAAAGTGAACGTGAATTGTTAAAAACGTATCTTTTGAAAGTTTTACAAACAATTGATGCACGTCAGTTAACAGTTTGTTGGCCAACTATACCAACAGCACTTGAAAAAGAACCATTATTTGTAATAAAAGTAGCTGGTCCAGAATGTGGAGCTGTCAGTGAATCAATAGCACAAGTAAAGTGTTGTGTCAATCCATACTTTACATTTTTTTCCTTTTTTTACTATCTTGAGAGGACCTTTGACGTTAAATTTCAAATACCCCTCTAAACTTTGAAGACTTCGCACACTTAAATTGATAACTCTCAGATTTGAAATGCCAAGAAAAGAACAAGAGAAAAAGTGAACCGACAGTGCAACACCCATACATAATGCACTTATATTTAATAAGGAAACCGATTTACAGCAATTAGAAGTAGTAAAACAGACTGAAGATCAAACATACTGTTGAAATCCCGTAACGTTTGTACTACTCGAGGTCTTGTAATAAAATCAGTGCTAAGGGTCATTTCCTGAAGGAAACACATTGTCACGACTTCGCACTCCGACTGTGAATTTGCTGATTTTATTCGCACGATTCCCCAACTGACTTGTCTTAGATGGTAATATATGTCTACATATACCAAATATAGTTTCTTATATTACATTCTTTTGTGTTAAGGCTAACAATACTGCTCGTTGACTCGAATGAGAGCAGGTTGAATGGAGTTCGAATCTCTTAGAGGTTACTGAAACAAATACACATTTCTTTTCATATGAATTGGTTTGCTTTAAGTTAAGTCGTGAACTGATTGATGATTCCAAGTCGTCAAATATTCATCATAGCTGAGACGTTCAGCTGATAATTCCATAGTACCGTGTAGTTCTTCTAATTTAAATTCATCCATTCATAGAGAGAAATTTGTCAGTTGAATATGTATTCTTAAATAATAACATTATTAAAAACACTTTTTCATAATAATTGTATTTCTAGTTCCGTGATATAATCTTAGCACTTTATGAATCTTTGCCAAGTTTCAAAATGAAAGATTTACAAGAAAAATGCCCAATCTTTCCACCAAAAGGCATGTCTGAAAAAGCTATGCGAACATTCATTAAAGTAAGTAGAGTTATATTGTGATTGTATTTTTATGATTTAAGTTACATCCTTCTTGTCTTTCGTATCCCTTGATTTATTTAATTACAATATTTTCATTCCATGATAATTCTCCTTTCGTTTGTACAAAACTCGGTACTAATAATGTGAAACTGATAACTAGGATCAGATGGTCTCCGTATTCAGCTTAGTTCTTCTCTATTGATTCAGGCAAAATCTATGCCTAGGAAACAGTGATTTTATAATCTAACATTTATATTTATCACTTGTCAGTCGAACAGTTACTATTATTTTTAGGATAATAAGTGGGTTTCCGTATGATACTGTTTGAACCTGTGTCTTTCATATACCTATTCTTACTACTGAAATATTTACTAGTAGGCTAATTATGCCAACTAAACTTTACCGGCTATCACAATTCAGTAGTCTTAGATTGTTTGCCCGTATGCTAGTTCCTTATAGGATTTTTTCGAACCAGTGTACACTCATTAGTTAACAGAAGATTTTCGTTTAGAATGTGATGAAATTTGGAAGTCGATCAGGGTTATAAGAAAAACGGGAGAGGAGTAGCTGTGAATCTAGTTACACTGTGAGACAAATATGCTAAGGAGAAAATAACTTAGTCGGTTCTATTTACAATCCTTTATCTTTGTATATAATACAAAGCTAATTAATTAAAATACCATTTCTTATATTTTATACCACTTATGTTTAAAAGTACAATTGAATTTCGTATTATTTTTCCTGTATTTTTCATCAAGCAATACTGTATATTCAGACATGGGAGATACTTTCTACGTTGTACTGTTTCTGACGATTAATCTTTTTGAATAATCACTTGGTGAGTTACTGTACTTTCTCATACATTTTCTTTATGCATACACACACACACTATATATATATATATATATATATATATATATATATATATATATATATATATATATATATATATATATCATTATGTTATTCATGCAAGTATTTTTCAAAATAAATTGATTTGAGATTCTAGGTTAAAACGGTTCTGTTTAAATGAATCAATATTATGGTCGTCGCTTGTAACTCTCTTCATTATTGTGTTCTATCTGATTCAGTTGCTTACACACATCTAACGATTTATCACTCAGCAGAGTGAATGTTTGTACAAATCACTCGAAAAGATTTATCATGCATTATATTATACACTACTTTGTGGTAAAAATTATTTATCGAACTTTTTCTAACTGTGACATGTATGTTGATTTTGGTTTGGTGAACAATACTTATAATAGCCCGTCTACTTTTCCATCGGTTATTCACCGTGTAGCCCTGAAACAGCATTTGAGCCGTTCAGATTGTCTGATTTATCAGTAATCAAAGGTTTTCAAAATGATGACAACTTCATTTTAGGACGTTCTCATCATTAAGACTAAGCGTTTTTACATGTTACAATATATTTCTCAACTTCATTCGTATCTGGTACGGCCGAGAGTGGGGTGTGTCCGCTCTCCCTCTCGAAATGCTCTCACATGGCCACGCGTATACAGCCTCTGTCAGGGAATTCCTGCTCACTGCCTTCTCGTGGCGGGGGTGTTGTTTACGAAAATGAGGGGATAAAAAGCGAATGTCCGACGCTTTAACCGGATTCCAAACCAATGGTGCACATGGGCTCCAGTATCCTTCGGGAACAAATGGCGTATGAACCAATTTTTGGTCACCGGCTACCATGGAACTGCATCTCCTCACGATGCTTCACTGCCTTGTGGGTCAGATCTTTAGGTCGAAGGCTCGGGGTGTGGCCTCCTAAGAAAACCACCTGCTTCGGTTTGGGCGCCTGGGCAGTATCACAGCCCTCACACATATCGAATGAGATTTGTGTGGCGCATATATATTTGGTGCCTCCTTATACCAATATCTTTGTGTTAAAATAAATAAATAGAAATAAAAATATCTTTGGTAATTTCGTATTACTGTGTTAAATTTTCCTGGTGACTTGTGTCGATATATAATTTTACCTGGTTCCATATCATTTTATATCTGACGATCTGACTGTTATTATAACAAAATGACAAAGCATATTTTGTTGATTATTAAGCAATACTAACTAACTGTTTCAATAATTAAGTGTAAACCCATCTTACAAATTAATTAATAGTAGCAAGAGAATTCTAACGACAGTATTCGTTTATCATATTATCATATTTTGTACAGAGATGCTGGTTGATACTGTTTGTTTACTTAATGTCTTTACTTCTTTGGTTTTGTTTTAAGTTTTTACCCGCGCTTTTTAAATTTTTTTCTGTTCTTCATTTCCAGAAAGAATTCAAATGGATTATTATCATTATTATTACTTCATATATTGCTTACCTTTTGTATGTCATATAAACACAATTTGTATATTATAACTTTCTATTTCTTCTTGTGAATACTTTGAACTTTGCAATAAATCTATTGCATTGTGTATAAAGTTAAATATGTCTTATTGTTTGACTTCAATATTTTTTGTTACACATCTGGTAAGTGGGAAAATACATTTCGTAAGAATCAGCTGATTAGCGTTTTTTTTTACTTCTTTGACGTACTTATATGTTGGTACGACTGAGAAACTAAAGAAATAATCTTGGCATCACAAATAAGCAGATAATACTGTAAAGAAATAGAAGAGGAAAGATAAGTAAAATATAAAAGAAATAACTAGACGAAAATAGAATTTAGTAAGAGATAAATTTCATATTGAAACACGATTATATAGGATTTCTTCGAGTTGAAGTTCAGTAGTTGAAATCATTAGTCAGTTGAAGCTAGACCACCATAGAAAGCCTGGAAGCACTGAATATCCGTTTCGTCCTAGGATGGGACTCAGCATCCACGATCCCGCTCCCGCGAGGTTCTAACCCAGGACCTATCAGTTTCGCGCGCACTGCTGAGGAGTCCCATATCAGGAAAAAACGGTCGTCCAGTGTTCCCAGGTTTTCCAATTGACTAATGATTTCAACTATTGAAACTACTAAAATCTCCACAAAACCCCTTCTGTTAAAGAAGTTCCTTCCATTTTTATGAATTCAAAGAAAACTATAGCAGGATTACCATTAGGTTAACTGGTTATCGTCCTACCTCTTTTACCCGATCCCAACGATGCCGTATAATACATGGTATGGAAGCTGCTGAGATGACACTTGTGAAACATATCCAAACCACTGAAGACAGTGTCGAATCTCAGAGTCACTGGCTTTCGTGTCCTGAATTGATAGATATATGGTAATTCATCCACTTTGGCTATGAATATGAAGAGGTCAGGGAGTGTAAATGTAGGCTGATTAAAAGTCAATTCAATTAAATTATCGTGGGTATAGAACTGAAAAGAGGTCTTAACTGCAGTGGTAATAATCAACGATCGACAACTCTCAAGATATTTATTTCCGAAACAATCAGAATGAGATTGAGATAAGCCCCTGACTCTTAGTGACTTTATAAGTTTCATATCTAATTGAATGAGAGGAATAGTATTGGGGATTGAAAAAATAATCCTGGAGGTGTTTTAATGGTGGCAGTCCATTTTTAGCAGTTATATTGACTGCGATATTAAATGTAATCTGGGGACTCAGCATGATGTCATCTGACCTCTCAATGTCTGGTCGTTCCAGTTTATAAAAAGGAACAGGGATTTACATGTGATAAATGTGAATGGGTTAGTTCGCTTAATATAATATCTAAAAATAAAAGTCTTAGTAAGCATACGTCTCCGAACTAGGGTTCGCTATTAATAAACTAGGAAAACTCGATCACATTTCAGACGTGGACGTATCCATTAAATATTCGCATTTGCCATACGAATGCTCTTACATTTATGTTGCTGTTCACACGTGAGTTCGGACTCGGTATTTGTCTACTCAAATCCAATTGATCTATTCACTAAGATACTGAATTCGAATGGTCACTAGCTTGTTTTTAAGACTGTTGCAGTTTAAACTCAGGCTGAACAACCGTTCACACATTAGTTGTTTAAGCATTCCGAAAACCGTTATCAAATATCTGTTATTACTGTTAACTATTTGAATTCGGTACCATTTAAATACTTTTTTGTAGTTAATGATCTTTAATTAAAATTCTATTTTATGCGTGAGGTTATTAACCTCACACCTAACTCACATTTATGCTAGTTTAGGATCGGCATAAACTCTAAAATAGCTCCGAGCAGAGTTATTTAGATTCGGAAGAATTATTAAAATAGTAAACCATATATCAAACTTATTTACTTCATTTGGCTAGGTTGTTTGTTTTTTCTAAATCAAATTTCATAACTAGTAATGAAATGGAGTTAATTAATATTTGTTTAAAATGATTTCGTTTCCTGTATTGGTTATTAGAAAGATTTGCCATTATTGTTGTTACTATTATTGTTATTATTATTATTGTTATTATTAGTAGTAGTATAAATTTTTACAGTTGATCAAACATTTTGACAGCTTCATTCTTGTGAAACCAAAAATTTATTTATATGTAAAGTTGTCCTAGTTCCGTTTTAAAGCATTTTTAATCATAACTTTTAATTCATTTGTTTTGGTACTGTTATTCTCCTTAATCAAAGAGGTTTTCATTTATGTTAATTAATCCTTACTCCCTTCCATATATATACAAATCATATAATATTGAATTTATTATCCCTTTAGTGGTTCTAATTTGATACTATAGTAATAATTTGTTTATTATTGTTATTCTATCAGGGTTTTTTTTTCCGTTTTAATTTAAATACCTCAAATGAATTATAAATCCATGTAATTCACCTCTCCTCTTGAATGTTCCACATTATGTGCATAAATAAATTGTGCATATTTCATGTCATTTAAAATATGTATTGAAGTGGAACGTGTACTGCCAAGCTAATGATAACAATAATAATATTAGTACTTGTCGGAAGTTCGGTGATTATCTTATATTAAAGCATATTTTCAACAATAACAACAACAACATAAACAACAAAAAAATTTTTTGCGCGTGATTAAATTTTTGCAACGTATTTCATTCTAGAAGAAAAAAACAACAAACAAAATAATTCAATTGTAATAATGATATTTTGCTAATTAATTAGTAAGAATTCCATACAGATATTAATGTTACCATGTTAAAAGTTAACAATTCAATGGTATACAATAGTATCAATTTCATTGTGCAATAACTTGGTTTGCTTATTTGTTTGTTTCTACAACATGATGGTTGCTATTAGTGATGTATGTAATTTTAAAGTAGGGGAGTGTTGATTGTTTTATTTTAATTTATTTTTAATTATTCGTAAATTAAAATTTATGACAGTGACTGTTTTTTTTCTGTTTTTTTTTTGGTTTCTACAAAATGAAAAAAAAACCCACTGATTTTTTTGTTTGTTTTTGACAAAAAACGTTTTTTTCTATAATGATAAAAAAAAGAAACCAACTTCCGTTAAATGTCAATAGAGATTTTAGTTTTTGTTTTATGGAATTAAATTGTGTGTTATGATTCTTTTTGATTGCAGAATTAAATAAGGTTTTGCTTTATATATATTTTTTCTAAATATAAATCTCTAACTGAATATTATTTAATTTATATATTCATGAAAATATTGTTATGTAATGATTAAGTAAGATGGGTTTGATAATAGGTTATTATCAAAAAAGAGAGGTTTCACACTTTGAACTAAGAAGATTTCTATTAATAGGAGAATATATAACTCATCCGAATGCCCTGGTATGGCGGGGAGTGGGGTGAGCCCGCCCTCCCTCTCGAAATGCTCTCACATGGCCACGCGTATACAGCCTCTGTCAGGGAATTCCTGCTCACTGCCTTCTCGTGGCGGGGGTGTTGTTTA